TTATAAAATACACCCCTTCTACTAATTTGATTTTAACAAATATATAGTCTATATTTTTTCATGTCAATAATATTAAATAAATAATATTATATTTATAATATGTAATTATAAGCTTTTGTAAAATACGTAATTGTGTTTTAAAAATTCCAATTTGTATTTAAATTTTAATATGAATTTGATAAACAAAAAGAAAAATTTATATTTATAATTAGTTAATATAATTTAATATATAACACAATATTATAAGTATTAAATATTACATTTAAATAATAATTAGTAGGTAAAAAACCAAAAATGTATAAAAATATAAAACGAGGGACTAAAACCGACAACTCAAAGTTCATCCCCATTTTGGGGGAAATGAATAGTATAACACCATATTTGGTGTTATACTATTCATTTCCCCCAAAATGGGTGAAGAAATGGAGTAGGGTTGGAGAGGAATGGGAGAAAAATGGAGGAAATTATGGAGAATGGGAGTGAGATGGAGATGATCTTAATGGAATAAGTCAATTTCTTCGATCTAAGGGGCTCCAAAGCCCAAATCTGGTCTATTCTGGGGTCCAAATGGATAAAGTTCCAACTTTATCCCTTAAGTCCTTCCAATGAGTAAGGATCTCAAATTCTAAGTTCAAAACGAGCAAAAGCTCAACATGGTTTAAACATTAAGTTCCTAAACCCTAAAGTCCTTTAGTCTAAAACTCAGTTTTGATCTCAAGTAACATTCTAAGTCATAAAGTTTCCAGTTTTATGACTTTGAATGGTTATAAAGTGTCAAAATCTTAAACCCGTAACATATCATAATGCTACAAGCCACCAAATGCATGTATGGAGTAAAGGAAAGGGTCAAGATTCTATTTTGGTCCATACTCATATAGAGAAAAAAACATGGGACCAAAAGCACATAACTTCTAACATTAGCAAGATCTAGAGAGATAATCATCAAGTTCAGAACTTTATACCTCCTGGGGGTTGCTCAAGAAGTGTACAACTCAGATCTACCAAGCCTGGAGCTCTCTTCTTACTTTCCAATGGCTTCCTTCCTTTCTACAATGGATACTAATCACCAAAATGAGCTCAAAACACCACCAATGAAGATTAGGGTTTGAAAGGAACAGAGCGAGCAATGGAGGCTAATAAGGGTAAAAGGTATTGGGGTAATGATGTTTAAATAGGGTGCAAAGCCTAAAATTTAGGGTTTTTCTTCAACAGCGGCTACCACACTGTTACACCTATTACCATGCTATGGTGGTCCATCAAAAACCTGTTGCCCAAAAAAATTTGCCACGCCGTAGTGGAACTCCACCATGCCGTGGCCACCCAGAAAGCATTAACCATTTGCAATTTAGATTCATACATGGAACAGGTGTTACACCTAAGCTGTCAAAATGACAAATGAGAAGCTATTTCAGAAAACATAAGATTATTTTATTGTGTACATATGATGTCATTTAGGAGGCTGTTTGTACTTTCAGAAAAACCTCTTCAGACCACTTTTTGTTATGCGATGCAACACACACGTAACACTTTCCCTCTCAACAGTTTGTTTTTTTGGAAGATTTCAGACTACAAAACCTCTGCGTGTATTCTGTGCGGTGCAACACTTGACTTGCCTCTTCAAACCTCTTCAGCTTTTATTTTTCCCAAGTGAGTTTTTTAGAAATTTGGTATAACATGATTATTTTTAAACTTCGATTTTATTTTTATTTTTATTTTTTTTTGATATTTTGATGGATTTGATACAATTTCTTTTTATTATTTCCATAATTTTTTATAACTTGATTTTTTAAAAAAAACTTTGATTTTTTTTAAAACTTCTTTTACCGTTTCTTTTAATAATATTTTCAGTTTCGGTTGTATGCTTTTAAACATGTGTGATTTTTTTAGAAATTGTTTGCAATATTTTCTTAACTTTTTTATGTTTTTTAAAATTAGTTTATTCTTGAAAAAACTGATAACTTCTCTTATATTTTTTTAGATTCTTTTAGAAATTTTATATTTTTTTACATGTTCTTTTTAATAGTCTTTCAATGTTTTAAAACTAAAATTATTAAAATTTCGGCGTTGAGAACTATTTTGAATTTATAAAATCAATTTGTTTAAACTTGTAGATATTAAAAAATAAGCATACTTTTTATTATAGACTATAATCGTTTGATCTATACTTTCTACCGCAGAAGGTTACAGAGATGGTCCACATATTTTATAGATTTTCACTTTCGAAAAGCAAACAATACGTAAGTAAATATAACTTGTGTTAGTTATTAACGCCTTCTAAACCGAAAATGAAAAGTCATGGTGACTCAGTGGGAATTTGTTTGAAATATAAGTGATTTTCATTAACCGAGATAACTTATATATAGTCCTAAAACGTTATAATAAGACATATTATATTTATTTAGGACCATCTAAACATTAAATCATTGTAGGACTTAATATATCATTTTCGCTACAAAAATATGTGTCCCCTTTAAGAAAATAAAGGAGGGGATGGCAATACGACAATCACTTTGGATTCTATACTATTTGGAAGTTGGAAGTTGGAACCCCATGAATACTTGAAGTACAGAACATCAACATGAAAACCATGTTGATCACATCAGAAATGGGCAATATAAAAATATAACTGAAACATCTTAACTCGTATATAAGTTGTAACTCAATGTTAGTTTTTATTTTTTTGTTTTTTTATTTTTTTTATTTATTTTTTATTTTTTTATTTTTTTATTTTTTATTTTTTTGGGTTAATAACACCTCTAGGTACGTGTGGATTTAGTTTTGTATGTAGCCACACTCAATGACACATTCTTGATTAATTTAGTGGTCAATTAATTTTTACACGACAAAAGTAACGATTATCTAGTCAATCAAAACTTTAGTGAGGCAAAAAGCCTTGAAATTGACAATCACTAAGATTACCCTTATGAGTCAAGACATTACACTAAAAAAACAAAAAAAACTTTTGAAGGTGTGAAACTTTAGTTCGATATTGTTATTTGCAAACGTGGCTTCTTGCATGCTCTTGTAATGTGCATGGTGAATTGGTGACAAACGTGGAAGGTGATCATGTCTATTGAAATATTCACCTTTGATATTAGAATTATGCACCAATTGAAAATTTCAAAGAGATTGGAAATTGAATATCTCAGTGCACAAGGAAATGAGATTGATGGTGATTGTTTTAGTTTTTACAAAGGAGTTTTTACATGTGTTTAATAGACAAAAATGTTCACTCAACACTTTACATGAGTCACAACTTTGTGCCTTAAATGGTTTGTCGGCTTGGTGTCCATAGCTTAATTTTGATAAATATCTCAGTGCACAAGGATATGAGATTAATTGATGGTGATTGTTTTAGTTTTTACAAAGAAGTAGCCTCCCCATTTACTAGATGAATGGGACAAAACTCGTGAAGATCAAAGGCATTGTCACGTAGTTGAGCTAACAAACGAATCACATCATTCCAAGGGCCTCTACAGACAACCTAAGGAATAAAATCCCGACATCTCCCATTCGACCCACATAGGGCCTTAACCACCTTAACCCACAACACATATGGATCGTAAAAGAATCTTTGTCTTCATTTAAAAAACATGGCCCTATAGACACAACAAAAAACGTTTCCTTTAGCAGCGACAAAAGACGTCGCAATTGATTCAACATGTCGTCGCTAATACCTTTGGCGACGACAAGTCGTCACTAATACCTTTAGCGACGACAAGTCGTCGCTATAGAGTTGTCGCTATTACCTCGTAGCTAATACTCCTGTGTCGTCGCAAATAGCTTCTCTCTAATACTCATCGTTGCTAAATGGTCATTTTTGTCGCTATTGTCGTCGTTTCTATAACCTTTCCGGCCATCAGTCGGAGTTTTTCTGGCTACTCTTTCTGGAATCAGTTGTCGTCGCAATTGGTGAATGTCGTTCCCAAAGGTGTCACTGATAATGTTTTTTTTTTTTTTTTTTTTTTTTTTTTCATAAAAACAATTTATTTATGATATTAATTTGTATATATTAAAAATGCAACTTTAATAAAAATAGATACCACATTACATAAAAATTAAAATATACCATATTACATAAACTATCTAATAAATCCCAAATAAACATCTAATAAATCATCCATAAACTATTTAATAAATCCAAAATAACATCATCCATAACATAAAACAAGAAATACTATGTGTTTGTATCTTCCTGATCGTTGTTTTCCTCGTTGTTGATTTGGTTTTTAAACGAACAGATAATGTCTCAAATGGCCGTCACAAACATCGGACTTTGAAGAAAGGCATTCAAATCAATATCCTACAATTAGGTCACAAGCACATTAAGTCATTAACAATTTAACAAACTATCAAACCATCAAACCACCAAATGAAGTAAATCGGTAACAATTCAAAAAACTATTAAACAAACAAATCGATTAAGTCTTTAACAATTTAACAAACTACCAAACTACCAAAAATTACTATAAATGCATCAAGTTCTTAACAATATAGCAAAATTACCAAATTCTTTAAAAATTTAACAAGTACCTGTGTTGGTTGCAGTGATTGTGACTGTGACTGCCATTGAGGTTGAGAGCTTATACCCGCTGCTGAAGAAGTTTTAGGCCCAATGCCTCTCACATGCCCCCGTCGAGTACCCAATAACTTCTCAAATATTGCGATCCAATCAATGGTGTATGGATTACCACCAGAGTCGGCTATGTGATGAGTCTGTAGAGCAACCTCAGTAACTAAGACATTCTATATTTCACAAAGATTGTCAATATACGTTAAAACTAACACAAAAACAACAATCTACTACATTTTTAAGTAATAATAACTTCACATATTGGTTTTCAACTAAAGGATCAACAAATCCCCCCCTTTTTATTCACATACCCACGATGAAATGCTTTAAGTAATAATAACTTACATAAGTTGCACGTCCATCCACGATTCTTAACTACTTTCTTCTTCCGGCATTCTTTGTTTCCAACATATCGTTTTTTATGCTTTTATATTAAGAAGTGGTCAATAGCAGCATTCCAACGCTGCAGATCCATATTTGCAGGGGATTGATCCCTTGCTGCCTCCACATCCCCTTCAAAACCGATCAAATGAGTTTTTGCAACATTTTTGCAGCCTCTATACCGCACACATATCTGATTGTTTAGTGACACCCAATAAACTAAAGCCATGGAATCATTTGTAATCACTCCAAACTCAAACCATGTCTACAAAAAGAAAATAGAGAAATTAAAAGTAAATCAAAATTAAACATATTAAATATATAGCTTTATAAATAATTTACCGAAAGATACTGGAACATGCCAACCCTTTCGGCTTCATAAACGTTTGTCCATGTGTCCTTATCGAAACTGATGTCACGCCATATATAGCTCCCAACCTCCCGAATGAAACATTCGTATACATCCCCAATCGCCATGTGAGTATTTATGTCAAATACTATCTTCAGAGGCCTTTTGCCATTTGCTGCAAATAACTTGTATATTCTTTTTGTTTACTGCCATGCCTCTTCGTTTTGGAGGCACCGCGGCATAAAAACATATTAGTCAAAATAATCTTTTATATACATACAATATGTAATACAATGAATTAGAATTAATCTTAATTACCATCGATCTGGTGATCACCAAAACCTCCACCGAACGGATGTGGTGGCTCGTTACCTCCATGGCCCCATCACAACAGCTATGAGATGGAACAATGCAATCCAAAAAAATGACACCCTGAAGAATATAACACAATATGAATATATATATATATATATATATATATATATATATATATATATATATATATATACTTATAATATGATATGATTACAACAAATACAAACCATATTTTACTACTCAAATGTAAAGATTTTTTAATCATTCTCGCCCTCAGACACTTCAATATCTGCTGACACATCACTATCATAATCAGAATCCTCCTCATCATAATCAGTCTGGCAATTAGACACGTTATTGATGATACCCGTTGGTGGACTCACTTCAATATCATCTTCAACCGATTGAAAATTTTAAAAGTACTGGCTAAAGTCGATTGAAAGAGTGAAATTAGAAGAAGCATTACTAAGAACGACATCAGTTGAATCATTTTTGACATTTTTAATGGGATCATGGTCGACATCGTTCATTGGTGGATCCCAAATTCTTCTATGGTTAACATTTTCACTAATCTGCCGTTGGTTGTCATTTTCGTCACTTAGAGAAGGTTCTTGGATGTAAAATACTTACTTGGCCTACGTAGCAAATATGAGTTGATCTTTGTTGCTCAATTCGCGTTGTGGGTTGATACTGGTGAAATTATTATTAGATTTAACTCCTGAAGTATATAACCACTTGCAATGAAATAGTACTGTGGAATATTTATGAGGATAATGCAACTCGATAATCTATTCTAGGTGACCATAATATTTTTGCTTATTCTCTCCCTCAGTTAGAACCCAAGGGTTTTGTTTTAATCGTTGGGTGTCACACATAAGTACCATAAACCTAACACCATTCACTATGCAAACGGTATAAGTAAAGGCATTCACATATGCACCAATTGAAAGAGCGAATAACTCCTTGTTAAACTCTGGATATTTTTGTTTTTTTCATATCATAGACCTTGTCAAGAACCATTTAGGGAATTTGTTTTTTCATCCCTTTTAGGCTGTAAACATTGATGAAAAAAATATAAATTTAGTAAAATGAGAAATTAAAAACAGAAAATGAATTAAAAGATAAGAACACTTACACAATATACTTTATGACTTCGTCACAACTATCAAGCACAAACCATTGTAGACGTTTTCTCTCCTCTAGACCGAGATTTTTCATTTTCTTCGTGCTAGTCGGTCGACACTTAGAGTAAAACACTCATAACTTTGTTTCTTCTATGACAACATTCTCGTTTCTTTCGAGGCGACTGAATCAAGTCTCGACATCTTCAAGGTACATAAAAAAAATGATAATGCATCTTTAGCGACATAACCCTCAACTATAGAACCTTTCGGCCTCGCCTTGTTTTCGACATAGTTTTTTAGTTTTTTCATATACCTTTCTAAAGGATACATCCATCTGATACATACCGGGCCTCCGCAAATAGCTTCATCAGGTAAATGCAAAACTAAATGAACCATAATGTCAAAAACACGCAGGAGGATATATCACTTCTAATTTGAATCATATTTTAATAATGGCTACTTTCGCTTCTTTCATATCTTTCACCAATCGTGTTCTTGAGCAAAGTTGCTTAAAAAACGTACAAAGCTCTACTATTGGTGTATAAACACCTTTGCCCAAAATCCCTTTAACTCCAATGGGTATCAATCGTTGCATAAATATGTGATAATCATGAGATTTCAGCCCAATAATATTAGTATTGGTTTCATTCACTTTCTTATTGATGTTAGATCCAAACCCATATAACAGTTTCACATCTCTTATAAACTTACAAAAAAGAATGCGGTCTAGTTTCTTGAACGAGTAAGGTGGATGGGGTTTAAGTAACTTGTTTCCACTCTTTTTCAACCATTGACTTTTTTGAATGTTCAGTTTTGTCATGTCCGCCGGAGCATTTGATGTGTCTTTAGACTTATCATTCATCAAAGAAGTACCCAAAAGAGTCTCACCCACATTTGTTTCAATATGCATAAGATCGAAGTTGTGCTTAGGCTCCAGAGAAGATGAATACTCAAGTTCAAAGAATATGCTCTTTTTAGACCAATTCAACTTGAAATCCTCACGAGCTCTCTTAATAACAGCTTGTTTAATAACTACTTTACCCAGTGGACGAAACAATAGACGAGCGTGTTGCACTTGTATTTGTTCCTCGCTAACTGTCTTGGAGGGCCTCTTGTCTCGTGTTTGCCATTATAGTCCAAAATTTTTCACCATTGATGGTTAGCATCTAAGAATTGGCGATGACCAACATCTACAACTTTATTTGATACTTGGTATGATGGAGTGTCTTCATTGTAAGTCGGACACGCTTTGTACCCTTGTCTGCTCTAACCAGATAAATTATTATGAGCTAGAAAGTCGTTTATTGTCCACAACAACATCACTTTCATATTGAAGAATGTATATGTCACTACGTCTTTTGTACGTATGCCAAAACTCCATAACTGCTTCAACTCATCCACCAACGGCCTAAGGAACACATCCAAGTCCTTCCTGAGTGCTTTGGGGTTGGGAATCAACAAGGTCAACATGAAGGAGGACTCTTTCATGCATAGCCATGATGGAAGATTGTAAGTGGTTAGTATGACAGGCCACGTGCTTTGAGGATTACACATGTTACCAAATGGATTAAAACCATCAACAACAAGTTGTAAGCGTACGTTTCGAGGTTCCCTCAAGAAGTTAGGATACTTCATATCAACTTTTTCCATGAAGTAGCATCAACGGGATTATGCATCTGATGGGTTTTGAGCATTCTAACACTTCCTAAGTGTACATGCAACCCTAATAACCGTGGATCTATGTTTATCTAATTATCATGTAAAGTTAAATTCCAAGGTTATATTCCTATCTAGCATACATGGGGAACATTTTTTTAACTTGAGTGGAAGATAGAATAACTTACCTTGTTGTTGCTTATGATCCTTGAAACCTTGTAAGCCTAGCACCCCAAGTGTGATGCCTCAAATGCTTCACACAACACCAAATGCAAAGGAGTAAACTTTGAAAGAACCTTACACTTGAAAAAATCGGCCTAGCCCTCACTTGTTCATGTGTGTAGCCGATTTTGGTGGAGAATGAGTTCCTTATATAGTGTTGACACATCTAGGGTTACACCATGTAAACCCTAATATGTCATGACTCTTCATTTCCATGACCCATGGGTTTGTAACTCCCATGGAGCATCCTATGGGTGGAACCCAACTTGATAATCCATGGAGCCTCTTAGCCCACTATTGTAACAGCCCGAAATCTCAAGTATTGTTAAAATTACATTTTGGGGTGTTTTAAAGGGGGGGACTCGACGAGTTGGAGCCAGACTCGACGAGTAGGATCGCAGACCTGGTCGCGGGTTCGCGATTGGACTTGACGAGTCAGATAGGGACTCGGCGAGTCTGCGCTGTTTAGCGAAAACCCTAGCCGTTTAGGTTTGGGACGTATATAATGAACTTATAGGCCGTCATTTTCCGTCTTTAGCCTACTGAGAAGAACCCTAATCGGTTGTGTGCATCTGGAGCAAGGATTGAAGGCCATTGGTGGTCTTGAAGAAGTTATTGTGCAAGGAAGAGAAGGGTTTGGCTAAAGGAACAGCAAGGGAATCACATTCTGAGGATTGGAGATACAGAGAGCACATTATCCAGGTAAGGATTCGTGTATACTCTGCTATGGTGATGTATTTAGAGAATTAGGGTTTATGGAACCCTTTTATGGATAGATTGAATGTTACCCTTGTTCCCCAAATGATTGTAACCCTGTATTAGGACCCTTGGAGGTCCAGAATATCCCATGTCTGTGCATTTCGGGAATTGGTGAAGGCTTTGGATTGAAATCCTTATGCCTTAGGTCAACATGTAAAGTATAAGTTTTGGGGTGTAGCATGAGCACCTAAATGAAGACCTTATGTAATGGACCAGTCGAGGAAGGCCAGACCTATGAATGGTCGGAGCAGTTATGACCTTAGGAAGCAGTTTGCGCGACTGCATGGCATGGACTCGCTGAGTCAGATGAGCAGACTCGGCGAGTAGCTTGAAGAATAACTGGGACTCGTCGAGTTGTTCATCAGACTCGGCGAGTGGAGTCGGGGTGGCCCCGCGATTCTTCCAGGAGTAACTCGCCGGGTCAAGGAGGATACTCGACGAGTAGAAGGGAAAACTTAGAGAATTGGAGGACGACTAGACTCGCCGAGTCGCCAGAGTACTCGCCGAGTCCGGTCGGGTTGACCGTGGACTGTTGACCAGAGTTGACCTATGTGTGATTTCTTAGGGTCAGTTGTCTTGAAAGATAAAAGTATTAATAAGAGAATCCATTATCCAGGGAGTTTGAAGCTCGGCGGATCAAGTGCAAGTGATTTCAGGAGTTGCTAATTTCCAGTATCCACGAGGTGAGTTTTCTCACTATACTGTACCCGGAAGGGTTTGACTGTGTGACCGGAAGGTCGGATATGATTTGTGTTATACGTGCTATAAATGGTAAGGTATTTGCTATGTGTGTTATGTATGTTATACGGGCCGGAAGGCAATATGTTATGTGACTGAAAGGTCGGATATGATATATGATATATGTGCTATATGTGTTAAGATGAAGGTATAAATTGCTGTGTATGTTTATGGGCCGGAAGGCAATATGTTATGGGCCGGAAGGCAATATGTTATGGGCCGGAAGGCAATATGTTATGGGCCGGAAGGCAATATGTTACGGGCCGGAAGGCAAATATGTTACGGGCCGGAAGGCAAATAGGTTATGGGCCGGA